ATTTAACTGCAAACATATTGCCCTGAAATATGGCACTAAAACACAATAGCAATCCGGCTACTGGAAGAGGCTGGGTCGCAGTTTGGGACTCACCTGTGGCCAGGGGCCCAGGGGTCACCAGCAGGATTTGAATACAGGGACCTTAGCACCACAGCACAGCATCCTCCCACATGAACTGAAAGATTAACTCCATTAGCTGGCAGCAGTAGTAGGCTGTGAGGGACAAGTTCAGTGCCATGAAAATTGGCTGTAATATTTATGTATACCCAGCTGTCCCCTAAAGGATGCCTTTTCAGACTCATTTGCACTCTCATTATTTTTGTTTTCCTTTCCAAAATCAACTTTCCATTTTTGTTCTTTTTATTATATATCTTTCTAATTGTATAACACTTATTAGGTAAATAAGAAGCTTTAATTGAACCATTAAAATAAAGTAATCAGCACAACGGGGTTGATTCTACTCCCATTTAAAGTGAATATTAACATCCATCAACTTCATTGCGACCAGGAGCAGGACCAGAGTTTCATTTAGGACAGATTCCACTTTCCTGGTATGTTTAACCTGCACTAAGAAAAGTGAAATGTTTCCATGTGTCCCACATGTGTAGCACGTGTCGCCTATGCCGGAAAACTACAATGGTTGTCATATCGGATGCACAACTCACAGTACTGTTCTACTAGTCCAGGAGAGAATAACAATGGTTCTGTGGAATGTCAGTAATTCCGAGCCATGCAATTCCCCCTCATTCAAATTCCACACGAGCAGATCAATAGGAGGAGAAGGTCAAGTACTCATTACGGTGCCCTCGCTGAATGAAATATAACAGGACAATAAATGGCAGAAATGGCAAAAGATAAATCAGATGTATAAAACGTAAGTCAGCTTTAAAACTCTCCGGAGCGATGCTATTAGTTATTAGGGGCAAACCCGACTGTTAACCTGCTGGTGGCCCTTCAGTCAGAGAGCCTGGCCCAAGCCTGCAGGACAGTGAAATGAGATCCGGTGGCCAAGTCTTGGTCCAAAGGAGCTCCGAGGTATAGGCCTGAGCAGCCCACTTTGTCGATGACCTGGAAGCTCAGCTCCGGCCTCACCAAATGGAGGCTAAGTAGGCTCTGATACGGCAAAGACTTACGCACTTGCTTAACTTTACACTGTGAGAACGCCCCTCTTTCGTCACATCAGGGCCCAGTGTTTCTCCCTCCGGCGCTGAGGAAGCCTGTGGTAAATCAGTCCCACTCTGGAGGTTTAGTACTGGACATTGGTTTATTTACAGTATTCAGAGGGTAGGCCCATAGGTTGGCCGGGGGCTTCTTTAAACAGAAACAAAAGATATTAAATTGCCTCACTCCCACTGGAGAACTGCCTCTCCTCACGCTGACTACCTAGCACCAGCCATCCTCTTTCACTCACCCTGAGCCCAGCTATGCTGCGAACCAAGGTCCTCTCCCCAGACAGAAATAACACAAGATTTCCCTTGTAGGGAAAAACAGCTCTTCACCTAGGAGACGCCTTTTCCCCTTGCCGCACACAACCCTTCTGCAGCTTGCATCTCATGTCTCCTCGTAGCCTGTTCACTGGAGCTGGTTTTTAAGGTCCCAGGCTGCCCTTAATTAGACTCAGGTGTCCACAATTAACCTGAGCTAACCTCTTTCAGTTTATAGGAAAAAGAGCTTTAATCATTCTAAGACTAATATACCATCCTCCAAACACTCTTCGAGAACAGCCAGGACCTGAGTTTAATGGCTGTATGCAGTGTTGTTGTGTGCACTGTTGTTGTGTGCACTGTTGGTCCCAGGATATTAGAGAGAGAAGCTGTAAGCTCAAAAGCGTGTCTCTCTCACCCACAGAAGTTGGTCCAATAAAAGACATCAACTCCCCCACCTTGTCTTTCAGGTCTGCCTTTGTCACACCACATAACTTTATGCACCAAGCGTGTCCCTAAACCTTTGCAGATCAGGGTTTTAGCACCTGAGCAGAAATCCAGGCTCAAATAATCAACCATGTGCAAAGCTTCTGATATTTTAAATATCTGACCCTGGAAGTCTTAAGAAAATGAGTCTAAGGCAAAGTTGTCCAGACAGCATGAATGAACAGGACTAGAATAAGATAGTTAAGGCCAGTATAACTGACTCCCTTTCTCTTATCTACCCTGAATTGCATCTGTTGCAATCTACTCTATTTAAAATCATTTTCAGTTTGCTTGGCCTATGCCAACCTTTTTGGTAAGTGTTTAAGAAATCTGGCCTTGTTGCTCACCGATCCCAAGGGCACAGGCTGAACGTTATCGCTTTATTTATGATGGAGTGGATCCCTTTGTTAATCTGGTTTTCACA